AGAGAGAGAGAGAGAGCTCCCTAAATTTCAAACAAAGTCCCACCATACCTGGCAACAAACTCCAAATAATTCCTGATGTTGCTGCTGTCACTCTTCTTGCTTTCTTCCTGATTCCTGTTCTTTAATATTAGGTTTTGACTGTTCAAAACCAAAGTTTGTTTTAAAACATAGATCACAAGTTCTCCAATCAAAAAGAGAAAACTACATCTCCCATTCAACTCTTCTTTTAATCTAATCTGAGTTTCACTCTGTGATACTATATATCTCTTGCTGACCAATTCAGTCAGCCTTCTGCACATACCTTCAGCAAACCTATTTATGGAAGAACCCTCAATATTGGAAACATGATTTGCAGAATAGTACAGTGACCTCCAAACTTCTAAAGTGAGGTCAAGCTCAAGGCTTAATTCAGATGGGCTAACATGGAAGTTCATGTAGCCACTCGATTCTTTCATGTTCATTTTCTCCAAGGAAATATATAACTCCAAAGGACAACACAAAGAGTAATATACTATTGCATAGCCCGTATTATCAGAATCGCTTCTCAAAAAATGCAAATACTTCACAGAATCAATTCGATCATTCAGGCCTCTAGCAAGCACTCTCCACATCTTAAATAAGCCCCAACGAAAATCATTCTGCATATACAAATATAACATACCAATAAAGTGATTTAGTTCATCCAAAGGTTCACATATAGAACATATCATCTCAGAGAACTTCTGCAATCTGTTCATTATAAATTGGTTTTCTTCTAGTGCAGAAAGCGAGTGAGCTACCACTACGAAATAAAGTACAATAATATAAACCATGGGAGAAACCAAATCCATATACACTAAGAAACCGCTTCCTGACATATTTTGATTTGCACGTTCAGTATCTTGAGGACATTGCAGTTTCTGAATTTCCTGGATATCCAAAGGAACTTTGTAAAGAGGAGATTTCAGCACATCATGTTCTAATTCCGCTATGACTACTTCAATGAACTGCAGCACATTACATTGCCAGTCAGTGACACTAATAATTGGGTGTTCTAAAGTAACAGTCGCATAGATATCCTTTGTAAAACTAAGTAATTCATGGATGATTAGCACAATCTCATCGAATGGTCTGGATGTTCCTTTTAGTTCTATCTTAACTCGTTGCAGCAAAGACTTGAATATCCTTAAAGAAGCGTCTAAACCCCTTTTCACGTATTCATCGGCCATACCTTTACCCAAACAGTACCTCCTGATAATTTGAACCATATTCAGGTAGAAGTTTAATCTATTCAGGTCCCAAGGCAACCATTTGATGGGATGGTCATGCCATGACATCTTAGCACTAAGGCAAGGCTCATATGAACCAGAATCAGGAGGCCAAATGTATGCTACCACTTGTTTCTTTGGGGCATCAAAACCCTTATCAATTTTTGATGAAACAAGTTCATCAAAGAGATCCAGGCAGCGACTCCATATAAAGATATTCCTATCATCGGGACCCATTTGGAAGACTGCTTTGAAAATAGGCTCCAGTACAACCTCTTGTATTGAGGGGTGGTTGACAAAAACATCAAGTTTATGAAGTATGTAATGCCACATGTTTAGGGAAGCAAGACGAACAGGAATGTCACAGGCACTCGATAGCACTCCAACCAACGGTGTCATTAGCAACTTGATTCTTTTAAGTGGGACATCCCTTTCTGCATCATAGTTTCCCGAGGAAGCATGAGAGGGTCTTAGCCCTTCATGTGAAGAGGGTACATGGATTACATTTGTTCCATTTGCTTTAACTGGTTGTTGAAGAAGTATATCTATCAAAGCTTCCCATGCAACCTGCCGAACAAGATACCACAAAAGTAAATAATATGTAGCAACACTTGTAGTATTGCTACAGTTCTACTGAAGGTGCATGAACAACAAACAGATTAGGCAACATAAGAAAGCTAAAATGTCATCAAATCCTTGAGAAAAGGTGAACTAGGTAGTGACCTGTGAAGCAATTTGGACTTGGGGATCAGGACAAGAGAATGTCTTCTCGGGGATTTTCAGCATTTCATTAAGGAGGTGTCTTTTTCTTAAGACATGAGAACCAAGTAAGCGGATAAGCCATCCCCAAGCCTGGATGACATGGACCTTGCAAAGAGGAAGCTGCAACATTTTCTCCATATCTGAAAGAAATCTGTGCTTGATGTCCAATGCAATAGCCTGCTCAATCATGATGAGCACAGGAAATATTAATTAACAAAACCAAGTTTGTTGCTTTCTGAAAAGAAAAAAAACAGGATTGCTATCACATATAAGCATTCAACAAATTTCAAACTAAGTCCAGAAAGGATGTATAACTTTATCATGAGGTACACTAGGGTAAAGCTGACCCATGTAGGTTGGAAAATTAGACACAGTTTGGATTACAATGAGATTATTAGGCAACAGCTCGGATACATGGAGGAATACATAAGTGAATGACTAAAGTACTCAGTGACGATAAGTCAACAAATAAAGGCCTAGAAATATGGATTGGATGCCATTTGGCAGTTAAAAAAGAATATAGTTTAAGAATAATGGACAATTTCCACTTCAATCGTGCAACAATCACATCCTTGGTCAAACATGAGGCAATCATAAGGGAGAACAAGGAAGAGTTTGCGCCCCAAGAACTTATGTAAAGTATGTGGTGAAAAAATCAGAAATCCTCTAGTCAAAGGAAATACAGTGGAGAGTAATTTGCTCCACGAACTTTTCTTGAAGAAAATAGAAGTCGAGTTCTACGATTTCAATGCCATCATGGAAAAGGGGATTCATAACATTCCAAACAGAAGCAATATTTATTTCCACAATAAATTTAATAAAAAAGAAGAAGCTGCGCTATTCAAGTGAAAGAGCAAGAAGCCTTATGGTGCCCACTAAATCCAAAACCCATAATACATCGATATTAGCCAACAAATCGGCAACCCACAGTCCCTTGGGAATATGGACACCAGTGCTCTAAACAGCAGACCGCAGGCGGCCGCCTAAGCTGTCCAGAGGGCCTGGGCGCCTTGCCCAAGCCTACGGGGCCCAAATAGGTGGCCACCTAGGCACTAGGGGCGGAAATGTCCCTCGTTGAAGGGCATTTTTGGTTCTTTTTTTAAATAAGAAAAGGGATAAAGGTAGGTTTTAGGTTCATTTGAAACATAAACTCCATTAGAGCATATTTTAAAGAGAGAAAAAACCCAAAAAAACTAGTTTTTTTTCTGATTTCCATAGGATAGAAGGGTTTCTTTTCTTTTTATTTTCCTCCTCTTGGTTGTGTATTGTGGTTCCCTGGTTTTGTAATTTGGTTGGTAAATTTTAAGTTTTAACTATGTGAGGAGTGTGGACTATGGATAATTGAATATGGATTTATGGAGTATGGAGAACGGTATATTCTATGTGGACTTGTGGACTAAAGACATTTGATGTCCCTTAGTCCCTAACTCTTATGTGTTATATTGATATTTCTTATTTTCTTGATAATGAATTGATGTGTTATATAGGATTATGGACTAAAATATACCTCAATATGTATTTTTCAATTATTTACGCAAAATCTGACCCTTAAAACAACAATTTCTTTCTACTGGGCCGCCCATGTTCTGAGCGTCCGCGTAGGTGCTGAGCGGCCTGGACCCCACCCACCCGGCCGCCTAAGCGCAGCCCAACGGTTTTTGTAACACTGATGGACACTATGATGTAGGACATACTTTGATATAGGACCAAGGAGGTCTGACTCCGACACAAGTGTAACACGTGAGGTGGGCCTAAGAAGAAAGGGTTGGGGCAGGTTTATGCGTTCACCTGAGACACATCGACTCCGAGACTGCTGAATCCCTTGCTCTCCTTAGAGGCATCAAGCTCTTTGACCCATTATGGGGTCTCCCGTTGATAGTGGAAGGCAACACCCAGAATGTTATCTCATGGGGCCCCGGGTTCTTCACCTTGCCCTTGGTACTTTGCACCCATTTTTGATGAAATTGCTCACCTCTGCAAGGATATCGCTGTCTCATGGAGGCCTACTTGGCGGGAGTTGAACGCCCAAAGTGGACGCCTTGGCTAAGGAAGGAGCCCTCTCAAGCATACCCTGATTTGGTGGCCCAAATTACCTTTCCTCCTGTTGGAGCATAACACTTTTTGGATTACCTCAGTGGACCATACTGCCACATTTCTTGGTTTTTTGGTTACCTAGGTTCCCTACCCCAGGGTTTCTAGTAATCAATTAGGGAAAGAAGGAAACATGACACACTTAAGAAAATCAGCACTGATTTTCCTAGCTTTTCTACCACAATTTCAAGCCTGAAACGTCTAAATTACATAAAAACATAGAGATAATGGTCATAAATTTTGAAGAGGTGTTCTGTTTAGCTTAGGATCACCTCAAACGGACATCAAGGTGAAAGTTTACATCCTTGAAAATGACAGCATCACATCATCTGCAAATCTAGACTATCATTGGCTTCCAAAATACAACACAAATTCTTTATTGTACACAAGATCCTCCCAACCCGAATAACAATGTGGAAGATCATCTCGATGATAACCCCATATATTGAACTCGCAAACTCCTTCAAGTAGAACATTCACTTTAGCTTGTGTACAAACTATCCCACATAGAGAGCCAGCATAAGAGTTTACTTTTGATCAATCCGCACAGGCCCGGATTTCCTTTTGTGTCTCCATTGCCATTATTTAGTGATTATCTTCCTTGACTTTAAAATTAGGGTTTCAATTTGTGGGCACAACTTACAACTAACATGTTTATTGGTTCATGAATACTTAAGATGTTGAAGCTCATCTCTGTCCTATCAGCTAGGAAAATAGTTAAGAAGGCAGCCTATTATATCAAATCCTTCCCATCTGAGACATCACAAGATAAACAACTATGATAGTGTGAAAAAACATGCACATGTATACAAATCTCATTACCCCCATGAGTAACCCTAGAAACGATTTACATACAATTGTACATAGGGATGACTCTGATTAACCTTAATGCTATAAGCATGCTTCTGCACTTATCAAAGGACCTAGCATCAAATTTCTTTTAGCACTTACACTCATCATCAAGTTTTAGTAGATAAACTCTCCTTAAATATATTCAGGGATTTGTGTCAAAATTTATAGCTCCATATGCTTATTTGTGTATTTCTAATGGAAATTTAAGTCATTTGTACATGACATACTCCTATATAACACCAAAAGCATTATTATTTTGAGAAGAAGAATATATATTTTTTTAAATAACAGGAAGACCTCATTAGCTAATAGATAAAAAAAAAATAAAGTTCATTTTCATTTTAGTTGGGGGTCAAATACCATGAAATTGTGATTATCTCCTTTAGAATTCTAGAAATTTTGAAAAAAGAAAGAAAAAAGAAGACACTGATGGAGGATCCGATCGAGATTCATCACGATAGTTTCGAATCAAAGCATGGGCAAAAACTTTGTTGAGGGAGCAATAGATCGTCGATTGTAGAGCCAGGTCAGTCAACTTCTATTGGGACTTCTATTGATTCGACTAGAGGGAAATAGATACTAGCAGCAAACTTGGTGGAAGGAAGGGGGGGCCCCCATGGAGACAGATGTCGTTGACCAATGAATGAGATGCCGGAGGGAGGGGCTCATTCAACTAATCAGTGATCCCTGGGCCTACCTAACACAGATGTCTATGAAATGAAATAGGATTAAGGAGAACAAAGTCATGCTTATTGTAAATTCAAAGTGTGAATGAGTGATTTTAGGAAGATTTTGTAAAATAGAATTTGGAGTGGGCAATTTTGTCCATTTCTATAGCAAGTATGCAAATTACTATTGACAACTCTTGTATTCTTATAATGGCAAAGGGGCTGGGGTCATGGAGGTAGCACCCCACACTCTAGTCACCACATTGTGGTTTCCATTCACACCACTAACACCACCCCACTAATACCTTTCAAAAAAGCTAACTCTTAATCTACTTGAAAAAACGGGTAGGGCCCTTCCATTTCACTGAAATACCCAAAAAAAACAAAAAAAAACTCTTGTATTCTTATAATGGACTGTCAAGGCTTCCAACTCTAAGATATTTATACTTTCTTTTCTCCAAAAGTTGGTTTCCAAGATACATACATATTTACTATCTCCATATGGAACTTAGACATTTCTTCCAATAATGAAATAGCTCTAAAAGAGGGAATGGGGTTGGGGTATGGGTGGTTAGGGGACTGATGCCTCAACAAAATGTCCTACCCTTCATTCCCACTGTTAACCTAAAAAAAAGCTCTAAAAGACTTTGATGAGTTCATCTATAGAACCATCAGGTTTCATCTGTATTGAACATGTAAAACACAGTGCACATTGTGTTTTTGTTGGGTAATTCAGTGGGGAAGACATGCCCCTACCCCTTTTTTCAAGTAGATTAGGAATTAGCTTTTTGAAGGTATTAGTGAGGTGGTGTTAGTGATGGGAATGGAAACCACAACGAGGTGACTAGGGTGTCGGGTGCACCACCACAACCTCAGCTCCTTTCCCCATAGTGAACATTGTTCACATGCAATAATGCATGGGCAAAGAGAAGTTTGACATGGCGAAATGCAAATTTAAGAGAGAAGCCTTCTTGACTTCTAAAACATAATTCATGGCATAAATGCATCATAACATTAAATATAGTTTATAGAATTCATTTATAGACAATGATGAGAAGTTCCCTAGAAGAATCGTGGTGTTATTGCTAAATTAAAATCCAATAAAGGCAGAGCTGCTATCTCTTGGAACATGAATCAGTAGGAATTTAATTTCATAGAAAAAACTTTGTAACAATCACGACATGATTGAGTAAAATACAAACATAAGAGGTGACATCTTCTCATGAAAGGTATATGAATATCAAGTTATGAATATCATCATTAAAAGTTCGCAAAATTTTTGTAAGCAGAGACAATCACCTTGGAAAGTCTCAATGGAGGAGGCAGTATAATCGACTTAATCTTCTGGAGGCACCTTTCTGCCATATCTCTATCCCTTTTATTTAAGCTAAAAAGTCTCCTGCATATACAAGGAGCCCATACATGTGAACTTTCTCTCATTGTTTTGCCCATTTGAGTGGCCAGCTTAACTGCACCCTATGATAAGAACACAGAATATAAATCATCTTCAATCAATCCAATATAATAAATTCAGAAACAGGGGAGAAAAGCTTAATGTTTTCGAAGTAAAAGTTCAACAAAAGGAATAAATTAGAAGTCCCAAATGAAATTTAAAAGGTTGATTATCTTTTGGGGAAATAATGTATAGACATACATCCAAGAATGTTGATAAGAGAGAGTTGTGTCTATGTATAGCCACAATATTCAAATAATCAGTGGTGCATTAATTAAATGGATAGATATCTTATGGCCCCATTAAGATGGAGGAAAAGAAATGATACACCAAAACTATTTGTTCAACACAAGAATGTCTGTGTATCATTGACCAATCCAATAACAAAAACTACATACATCAAAAAGAGGGTGAACAACAAAGAAGGAAATCCCTCTTGAGAAATTCACTATATTTTCCCAGATTACAGATATGTAGATTAGATTAACATTTTGCAAATCGATGCCACGAACAAATGCTTCATCTCAGCATTATTTAGGCCAAATTCATTTACTTCAGCCAGTAGGCCACAAGAATGCCGGGACAAAAACTCTTTGACCTTCTTCAGGCAAAGAGGTTTTATTTGTGGAATCAGACCTTCCATATAAGATGGCAACTGAAAAAAATTTCACGTCATCCAATATCATTCTGCTTGATTGGAGAGAGAGAGAGAGAGAGAGAGAGAGAGAGTAATTGTAGATAGACGAAGGTGGGAGTAGGACGAGTCTTACGAAACGTACCTAGTTGTATGACTAACGTAGGTCTTAGTTTCGTAACGTACGTAAGTTTCTT